GTTTGGGTTCAGTTTCTTCACACATCTTGTTTACTCTTCATTATAACACAAACTTTATTACCTGTTACAGGAACACACCGTGTTATCTCGTTGACAAATGGAATCAATGATAACACTAACTCTCTTCGTTTGTTGAATTTCGTGCAAAGCTACACGAGGGCTATCTGTGCTAACGTCTAATTTAGCAGTGATAGACTAGAGGGAAGGCAGCTAGTCAACACCACCCACCAACAAATAGTGAGATCGACCGTCACATTATAACGTCCCACAGTCGAATCATTTCGTTTTGCTTCGTTTGTTTGCAGTTAAGCAAAAATCTGCACAATGGGCGACGTGTGTTCTGCCCACCACGGGTATCGAAACCAAGTTTATAACGTTGCCAGACACCGCTGTGCAACTGAGGAGTTTCGCTTTGCTAAAGAAGATCTATCTTATTTTGTTTTCAAGTTAGAGCTATTAAAGTTATGGTTTGTTTTGAATTTCGCGCTAAGCTACACGAGGGCTATCTGTGCTAGCCGCGTCTAATTTTGAAACGATACACTAAAGGGAAAGCAGCTAGTCAACACCACCTTCCGCCAACTCTTGAGCTATTTCTTATCAACGAATAGTGGGTTTGAACGTCACTTTATAACGCCCTCTCTGCTGAAATGGCGAACTGGTTCAGTAACGAGTATTGATCCTATAACCTGCAGATTGCGAGTCGAGCGCCCTCACCACCAGACTATATTAGATCTAATAATGACTAATGAGTTCATTTTCAGTTTGAATCAATGTAAGTAGTTTGCTTTGATCAGAAGTTAATGATAATTAAATCTATATGATATCACGTTAATGATAATTATATCTATATGATATCACGTTAATGATAATTATATCTATATGATATCACGTTAATGATAATTATATCTATATGATATCACGTTAATGATAATTATATCTATAGTGATATAAAATAAAGTGATAACTATATCCATATTGTCGATTAATTCAGCACTCCAAAAAGAGTTTTAAAAAATGCTCAAAATAAAACCCGAAATCACTTGGTAAGAAAAAGTGGTGAAATTAAAGTCACTCAATCCCCCAATGTGTAACTAACTGAATTTCTTTCTTCAAGGTAGTACCATATACATTTTTTTACTAACTAACCTTGATTATATAGCCGATAAGATTGAGAACTTATAACGCTAAGATACTGGATTGGCTGGTTGTGCAGCTTTGTGTTTATATATCCAAAAACATAAATTATATTATGTTAACTTATATATATTACATAAACCTACAGGTTAATACTGACTAGATTTTCACTCTAATAGTGTATGTAAATTCATATTGTTTTAGCATTTATATAGTTTAGAATCAACTATATTGCAGGTTAGAAACGTTTACACTTCGACTAGCTGTCTCCAAAAGGAAGACCACGAGAAACCTTCAGAAACTTAAAATGTGGACCCTTCGAATATTTTCGCTAATTGTATCGCTCCAGTACCTTTCATTAGCTGCGGGTGAGTTATCTGTTATTCAATGTGAAGCCTAAACCAGTAATACGAGATATATCATTTTATAAATATACAATTGTGAGTTGTGCTTACTTTCTCACCGATATTTGACCAAAAAGAAAAAATCACATTAGTAAGTATTTAGTAAGCAACGGTTAAAAACTTGTATGAATTATAAAGAAAATTTAAATGTATCTATGATATCGTTACTTCAACAACGATTTTTTCTATATATTAATAATATTAACAATAATATTGACATTACATATTTTAGTTTCATATAAACATTACACCATTTTCAACTATTTGTAGACTCAATACCACATTTGCATCACGTTTAAATATTTCAATAACTTTATTAAAAGGTAACGTTACAATAATGTTTCAACTTATCCACCACACAATTATTAAAAGGTAACGTTACAATAATGTTTCAACTTATCCACCACACTTGTGTGGTGGATAAGTTACAATAATGTTTCAAAATTATTAAAAGGTAACGTTATTAAAAGGTAACGTTACAATAATGTTTCAACTTATCCACCACACAATTATTAAAAGGTAACGTTACAATAATGTTTCAACTTATCCACCACACTTGTGTGGTGGATAAGGGACAGAAATACGCTTTTTTCCAAATTATTGTATACAAGTTCCAGAAAATAGAGTCAAATTTCACGTAGGTCTCCACACTTCGCGTAATGATCTTAATTCCTAATTGGTATACTTAATGATATTTTGCGCATCATGGAATTAAGCTAACCTTAACATAATCATTTCATTTTTTTGCTATCAATTTCAAGTGTAATTAATATTTCAGTTTGATTCACAAAAGAAACTGGTTGATAATCGATACCAGGCAGAGGATTACCTGTCATGAAAGCTTTAATTTTTCATAACCCTTCAACTGATTAATGTGAAATAGGAGTTTAGGTGATATAATTCTGTATTGCTCAGATGCAAGTCTCTAGATGCCCATAGGAATGCTGTCATTACTACAGATGAATTGTTTATTATATATCTCAACTGCAACCATTTTTACTGTAGGCTTGAAACACTTATTCTGATTCTGTACCTTCTTGAAGCTATAGTTGAAGCCCCCTGGTGGGAAAAGATAAGATGACTTATTTGCCAATATACTATATTATTAACAAAAAAAACGAACAATAAGTTTATTGTAAAACATAAAACATTTTTTATTTTGTGTCATTTTTTAATTTATGCAAAGTGTTGGTCCTCGTGGTTTTAACTACTTTATCATGTTGAAGTGTTGGTCCTCGTGGTTTTAACCACTTTATACATCTTGAAGTGTTGGTCCTCGTGGTTTTAACCACTTTATACATCTTGAAGTGTTGGTCCTCGTGGTTTTAACCACTTTATACATCTTGAAGTGTTGGTCCTCGTGGTTTTAACCACTTTATACATCTTGAAGTGTTGGTCCTCATGGTTTTAACCACTTTATACATCTTGAAGTGTTGGTCCTCGTGGTTTTAACCACTTTATAC